AATTTAATATAAATAAATGTCTTATATTTTTTAACACAATATATTAGCCATGTTAAAAGATAATATAGTTTTATTTTGATAATATAATTATAAATAATACCATATAATATAGATAATAAAAAGATATTTTTATTAATAAAAAATTTTCTTATTAATTTTTAATAACAATTGTTTTTCTTTTAATCTGATAGACAGGAACGCTTGGTGGTTAATAGGGCATTAGCTATACTAAAAACGCGCTCTATAGGGGTAGATGAGCGAATTGCTGTAATACTTAATAAACAACTCTTTTAACGGTGGGGAATTTATTAAAAACATTTATTATTTTGTCCTTAACTTCAAAAAATTGAGATAAGTTATCTCCCATCAATTCATCCACTACTTCCTCGTCAAAAAAAGGATATCTCGAAATTAACAGTAATTGCATTATCATTTCTAGGATTTTCAATGCATTTTTTCTATAACGCTATAAGTTTATTTTTTATAGATTCATTCTGTAGAAGTTTTATACATGGCCATCGACGCTTGAATACTGAATGTATAATTGCAGAAAGATATTAATCTTCATATATATATGTTCAAATCTTTAAAAAAAATAAAATCGTTATTGTTGGGGTCAAATAGCCCAAATGCATTTTTTCTTTACTTTCTAAAATAGTGAGCGCAGTTGCAATAGGTTCTATGATCTATTTTAATTTATAGGACTTATGGTACAATATTCCTACAAAAAATTTTCATCATTGCTTGAAAGCCTGGCTAATACTCCCATGTCACACACTTCGTCAAACAAATTAGAATTTTCTTTTACTAATGAGTCTATCAATTTCAAAGAATTATAATAAGAATTCCATTTTTAACAACAGGCCTTATAAGCAACCTTGGGAAATTATTCTTTAAATCAGCAGCAAACGATGTAGTCTGATTTTGTTTAATCCATAAATTTATTGCACTTATCAAATGTATTTTTTAATATGTTTTTAAAAGATAAATTTTCTAATGCTTTTTCAGCATCAACACTTGCTACTATATTAAGATTGTGGGAAGCACAAGAGTGATGTTTGGGCAGATAAAATAGGTTTTTCATCTCTATTTTTATTTTCAAATTAAAATTATAATTTAAAAAAAAATTAATTTCTATATTTAAATTCGGGCCGGGCCGACAAAACTTTTTTAAGAAAATTTTAGGCCAGGCCGGTTGAAAAATTTAGCCCGATGCAAATCACTAAGATAACTAGTAACAATGATAGTCATTTCCCCCAAAATAAAATATAATTAGTTACAGGCGAAATTGACCTTTCTCAAAATGTAACTATTTACAGTTAAAGTTTCTCATAAAGAGTATGAGCCACCAAACATGTAACATTAACAACACTAGTTTCATTATAATTTTTAGATTAATATTTTTAATACAACGATAATTTTCTAACGTTAAATCTAGATGTTAAGGGATAAGGCTTGATAGGTAATTCAGCTTTAGGGAGTAAGGTTTAACAGATAAGGGTGCTTAAAATAATTAAATGCTTCTCTATTCAAATATTTTTTCCATATGAGAAAAATTAAAAATAGTTTGAAAAAATATTTATGGAATATATTTATAAAGTCCATACGTAATTAAAGAAAATTTTGGTAAATTGATTTGACATAAGGCAGAGGACAAGAAGGATTTGATCTTTGTCAAAGACTAATGATCCAAGTGATTAAATCTAGCTTTCATTGCTACATTAACTCATGTTTCGATTGAATCAATTCTATATCTTCCATCCTTTTCTATCTAAATTAATCACGTGTTTTTTCCTTTCGCTAGACCTATTTAAAAAAATTCTATTTGTAAAAATGTTGGTGATTAATCAACCGATAGTCTTGGACACCACCCCCTTCACTGTCGTTTGCAGATGACCCAGACACCATGCTATCAATTCAATCATCAACAGAACCTTGAAATCCTCAAATATTCCCCTGGAATCATCCGGCCTCAGCCTCGACAATTAAACCAGACCAGATGGTATGACGCTAGTCCCTTGGAACCAAGGTCTACCTCTCGCCTGGGATTATACTTGCGTGGATCGTTTTGCCAGATCTTTTTCTTCCTATCACGAAAGCCGAAAACACAAAAACAAACAAATATAGCAACCTTAATAATGTTTTGTTTGTTCCGGTAGTCTCAGATACCTGTGGATCATTTGGACCCCAAGCCCGAAAATTATTCAAAACAATAGGGCAAAGGTTACGCTTAATCACAGGTGATCCAAAAGAAGGCTTCTACCTTTGACAGAGAATATCAACTGAAATCTGCCGTTCTAACTGCATATCCATACATGGGTCTATAAGCCCCGTTGATTATACCTAATTAAATGTTTAATTATTATTTTATTTAATATAGTTTTTATATGAATTTTATTTTACAAATAGTTTACATGTTATTTTAAATATATATATATAATTTTTTAAAAAATAAAAGAAATGCATCAACTTAAAAACTATTTAAAGTTTGAACCAATATTTTAAAATATTTTTTTTCCAGTAAATTAAATATATTTAAAATATATTATGATCAAGAATAGAGGTCGAGAAATTTATTTACATTTAAAATTAAACGGAAAATAGTTAAATAATAATAGCCAATGTCTTTTTAACGATGCAAATCATTTTTATAATGAAAAATATTATATTTTGTTTCACTTTTTCTAAAGAAAATCATTGTGTGTTTTTTCCCATTTTTTAATGGGGTTTCTTTTTTCGGTGGATTTTTTTCCCTGAGATATTTATTCCGGAGATAATTTTCCCGAAATGTTAACTTTTTTACACCCGATATTTTATTTAAATTATAAAAAAAGGAAGAAAACACAATCATCTTATAAATATTACCTTAATTTAAATGGCGCGAGGTATCAATAAACATTTATTTCAATAATAAGGTATTGAGTTTAAATTTATAATTAAAACCGCTTAGTTCATATAAGCTCCGGTAATAAAATATAGTTACTGGATAAAATCCTATTTTTATAATGACATGCATTTCAACAAACCTAAGAAACTCGAGTTCCTATAGTGGAATCAAAGTCTTAAAGTTGTATCAAATTTGTTTCTTAGATTACCTGAAGTGCCTTAAACTACTAAAACACAGATATTAATAGGCTAGGGTTAGTTTGTATAAAAAATAAGTTTATAAATATAATTATTAAATATTTTTAAGATATCATATAGAAAAATTTGATTAATCAACCAATCAGGGTCCTATTAAGACTTTAAGCGGCCCTAGGCTAAAATGAATTTGGACACTTTTTCAAAATTTCAATTTATAAGCTCTAAAAAAAGGATATTCAAATCAAAATTAACAAAAAAAAGAAATCAAAAATCAGGTTAATGATGCTTACTACCTTAAGGTACTACCTATCAAATGTGAATTTTGTTTATTTTTCATTTGGATAGGCCCTACCAAATATATTTATAATATATATTTGAAAAATCGCGATTTTTGAAAAGCCTCTGTGGCCTTGTCGGCAAGAGCTTCGCTTACTTATCCCATAGCCATCGGTTCGAATCCCAGGAATGGTTATTTTTTTTCTTAATCTAACTTGGTGGTTCCATCCTTGGGGGGGGGATGATATATAGGAGGCCGGATTCGACCACGTGATTCCGTTATAATATATTAAATAATAAGGATCTTATTACATTTTAATAAATTTTGGTCGGTATTTAGCAAATTAGGTTGGTATTTAGAATATTTCCATACACTTACAACATTATAAAATTCCATTAATTTATCATATAAGAAATTAATTTAAAAAATATCTCTATTTATTCAAAATTTCATTGCATTACATGTAAATTAAATACCAAATAGTCATATATTATAATATAAGCTTAAATATTATATTTTTATATAAATATAAAAATGGGACCATAAATTAAATTATAAATTCTTTAGACACAAAAGGTAAATAATTATAATAAATTAATTTCTTATGCAATATTAGATGCTTAATTTGGTAAATTAACATTTTCTCCTATAGCATAAGTATAATAACATACTTAAATTAATTAATTTTATTTATAACTAATATGCGGTTTCAAGAAATAATCGAATCAGCTGAGGATGCTCTATTTGATAAGTTCCCCGTGTTCTTGTAATGTCTTTTAGCCAGTGGGCTATAATTTTGCCTCTGAAGGTATATATAAGTCAGCAGAGCGATGATTGCCGACGAGAAAGCCATAAGTCCGGAAAGCAAGAACGCCATTGTTTTGGATTTCGACGAATATCTGTGCCCGAATCCTAAACAAACTGCCCCATTTTTCACGGGAGGCTTATCAGTCCCACTTGAATAAAAACGAATTCGGTCGCTGGTTTCGTATAGAACTCGTTGGTCTGATTCGTTAAATACAATATAATTTAAGAATTAGTGTTATTAAATGGCTCGTTTTGAGTCGATTTTTAAAAACGGCTAACTCATTATTTTATCCAGAAAAATATTACGCAAGCCTGAAGATTTTGTTTATAGAAGGAACAAAGGTCTAGACATATATTATCAAAATCTAGAGGCTTAGACAATATGTGCTAAAATATTGAGTTAGCCGTTTTTAAACATCGGCTCAAAACGAGCCGTTTAACAACACTAAAAAGAATTAAAAATTTTTTTTTGGAAAAAGTAGTCAGCTGCATTCAGTTATTTAGTAGACTGGTCAGGCCCGTAATCTAAATTTAAAAAACAACCCAGCCAGTTTTTGGGTGTAAATTCGATATTTAGATTTCGTCCTGGGCCGGACCAAGGACCGATGGTGACATCTCTAATCCATGAATTAAATAAAATAGATAATATGCAAATATGTATCTTGGGGTATACTTGGAAGCTTGATATCTTCTTGAATCAAGCGATCTTTCAATAAAAAGGAAGACGTTTCATTTCTGGTAGGTTCTTGGTCCTCTTCCTTATCCTTATTAAAGATTTCTAGGTATTTTGTAGAGATTTTCAAGTCGCTCACCTTCTTATTATCATTTTTAGTTAACCCAATCTTTCTACTCGCATTAACTTTAAATTCGGTGACACCAGGAGATATAGTTCTTTTGTGAATAAAACGGAGTACGTTGGTGGAAGAATTTAACGGGGATTTTAAAGTTAAAGGCAAAATCTTCTCAGGCGATAGTCCGTCATCCGCTTGATCCTCATTACTGTACCTACATATAAGTAAGTATAATTTTTTTAAAAATACGTTGAGGTCAAAAATAACAACTAAAACGTGATTTTTTTAAATAGATATCAAGATCAAGATCATTTAATATTTTTTCCATAACTTCGAAAAAAATTAAAATCATGAAATCATATTGAAAATAGCTAAACAAAATAATACATTTAATTTTATCGTGCATTTACTAAAAATCAGACAAAAATCCCAGGACATATTTATCCCCGTGACAAAAAATTTTTTAAGGCTCTGTCCAAAATATCAAAAAATTTGATTCGCAAACTTTTGAAACTTTATTGAAATAAAAGATATAATCTTTTTTTAATATAAATATAAAAAAATGTCCATTTATTAAGATATGTTTCATTAAAATTTCAAAACTTTTGATTAAAATTTTTCGAAATTTTCAAAATATTATTTTGAACATAGCCAAGCTTTTCTTAAAAAAGGACCGATAAACTGACCTATAGAGGCTCTCACTGTCTTTGTGATCGAACACATTAAAATTGTGGCTAGGATCTCTGATCCCAACATATTTGTAAAAAGGTTGCGAAAAAGGTTTATTGTCGTTGAGCTGCTTTTTATTGAGAGATTTGAAGATGGGCGAGGACGTGTTAGGAATTTTGCGCCTTTGCCTCCCATTTTCATCTAAGACAAATCCTGGCGAAAGAACCCTAACTTGGCCAGGCACCTTTCTAAAAGTGAACGCCGAGTTGTTATTACCATTTGAAGGTCCTTTAACGGAAGAATAAGGTTGGGAGCACACCGGGTTTAATTGCTATTTTATTATTTAAATTGTTATATTTATTTTATCGCGGGTGAAAGATGGATATACATTCTTAATAAATGTAATAAACTGCTGAATCTTATTTATTAATCTAAGTTTTTAATATCAGCTTTAAATTATGATTTTTTTATTTTAATTTTTAAAATGTGCAGTTAATGAATATAATTTTAAACTGTTTAAAAAAAATGTTATTAATATGTATTACAATAAAATTTTTAGTTATTATTATATATCAACCAATGATGTATATAATACTACGAGATTTGATTCATTGATGCATTTAAAAGTACATAGATAGGAGCCATCTGTAGCGCTATTTTGTGGTTTATATTAATGAGCATTCTTATAATGATAAATAAGATAATTAGTAGACTTGCCAACCTATGCGCGTAACCAATGGAAGGGTGGGGGGGGGGGGTCATCTTAAATTTGCCTCTTCTCGTAAATATCATTTTAACTAATAAAAATTTTCCCGAAAAATTCATCCAATGGTGCTTCCCTCTCCCAACCCACCCACCTTAGCAAAATTCTGGATACGCCTATGTGGAATCCATAAAAATACCCTACAGCTAACTCCAAAGTATGTACACTTTTAAATAAATCGCTAATCTAGTGGTATATATATATACAAATACATAATTGAATACAATAGATCTTATTATAAAATTTGGATTTTTTTTATCTATCAGATTGGTGATAAAAAAATTGTTTTCCTATCTTAAATAAAGTCAGTCATAATAAATATTTGAAAAATCTTGTCTTAAAAAACCCAATTGAAGGAAATATGTGGTTAATTTACTGGTGGACATTGTCTCCAGCATACTGTTATTACACATTCCAATTGAATATATTCAGAATCTGGGAATTTAAACGCTGGAAAATTGGCTATCAATGCACCCCTAGAAATAGATTCGAACTGTGGAAATATTCTGGTATCGGTAGGGCATCTAAAGATCGCGTAAATAGTAGTTTTACAGATATAGAATGTTAACATATTACAAATAATTACCCTTGCGAATCAATCAATTCGAATTGCCACGTACTTTCACGCGCTCTCGCAACGCAAGATTTAACTTTCATGTCATAATTATCTGCGTTAACGGAAAAAATTATTTAAAATATGAAAAAGAAATATACTTTGGTTAGGCAGAAATATTCCAATTCTGATCTTTTGACCCAGAGAAGCCCTGTTCAATGGCTGACCATTTTCATCTGTGAATATCATCGTGGGTGTAGGTGGAATATGAGTCTGTCTCAACGTGCTCTCCGTTGTTATCATACTATCATAAGTTAGAAAAAAAGACATTTGGTTATATATATCTTATTTAAAAAAAGTAAAATGTTGAGAAAGAAAGAAAGAAAAAAGAAAGAAAGTGCTTACTTGACGTCAGCCTTATTTCTAACGGGAATTTCTACCATAGTTTGAGCGGGTTGACAAATCACGTGGTACGCCTTAGCCATATTTGTGACAAGCATAGAATGCGGCTGTAAAATAACGATAGTCTCATATCTCATAGTTTCCTTATATACATAATAAAAAATAGTAATTTAATATTAAAAAAGAAATGTAAATAAATTAAAATTGCGTGGCTTTTGGAGCCAATTTAAAATAGATATTGAGTGTCTTTAGTGATTGAGCTGTATGAATAAATTAATATTCAAATGTATACAGGATTGAGTTGCAATCCACAAGCCCCTAACGGAACTCTCAGTCGAGCCTCGGACCTACCAGAAGGTGGTAACATCAATTGACAGCCGGGTTGTTTGAAATAGTTTTTGACGTAGAATATGCCATTGTTGAATTTAGGATCATCTACTTGTAACGAAACCTCCAAACCGTTATTAGTACAAATCACTTTTGAAATTGAAATGATAAAATAATATATGAGCTAAATAATGGAATTTCAAAATTTTATACTAAAATTAAAGAAAAATTGAAATAATCATTCTTGAAATATGAGATTAAAATTTATCTTTATCTTTATATTTTTATTCCCCCTCCCTTTAGTGGAAGTTTATTTAATGGCAATCTATAATCTATGCACCATAAAAATACGTAGATATATTAATTTTTTTTATAAAAACTCAATGCTTTTAAAGATTCATTTTGATCATATTCAAAATTTGAAGTTATATACAACAAACAGATTACTATAGAGGCACATAAGCGAATATTATATAAATTAGTCATTTAACAAACTATTTTTTTTAAAAATCATGATAATTATGATCTTTAAGAGTTATAATTGTATTAATTTTAGTGTTTTATAAAACTAAAATATGCATCTTTTTCTAAATACCTCCTCTCCCCCAGGTAAGCGGTAAATAATTCCCCGGAAAAAAAACCGGGAAAAAAATCCCCGAAAATAATTCCCCGGAAAAAAACCTCCTGGAAAATAATTCCCCAGAAAAAAAATCCCAGGAAATAATATCGCCTGGAAGATAATTCCTCGGAAAAAAAATCCTTGGAAAATAATTACTCGGAAAAATATTCCCCTGGGAAAAAATTTCCATAGAAAATAATTCCCCGGAAATAAATTCCCCATTTTTTAGATTTTAAATTAAATATGGGGGAAAATTAATTCCCGGATAAAAAAACCGGAAAAAATTCCCCGAATATTTTTTTTAAAATTATCAAAAAATAATCCCGCCGCTAAAATAACGAAAATATTTAAAAAATTATGTTAGTATTTTCTGAAAGTTGAGAGTATTTCTTTTTTAATTCCAAAAGGGTAATCTTTAAATGAGAATTGATAAATCGGTTGTTAGCTTTTATATTTTATAATTTAGTAGATAGCATAAAAAGAATAGATTTGTGACGATAGATTTTTATAGAAATATATGAAAATTATGAAAGAGGTTTTACAATTTAAAATTGAAAAGAAAAGCAAATTTTTCCCTAGAAAGAGAAAGGTTATTTCCATAATCCACTTTTCATCTAGACTTGAATACCATGAAGAGGGGGGGGGGTATTTCTAACACGCCACTAAGGTTAAAATATATATAACATTAAAATGAATATTATGACACTATTCTGTTCCGTTCGTTTATATCAGTTTGAATCCCGGACAAAAATAACATAATGGAAATTTTTTATGTTTAATACTATTGATTTTAAAAATTGTATCTGATTATTAATTTTCAAAAAAAGTATTGAAATCACTGATATTACAAAAGCTTATTTAATTCAAAGACTATCTCAAGTAATTGAACGCTACCAAAAAATATGGTGAATTCCATATCAAATCAACCAAGGTTTAAACCCGACCCCCTTCAATTTTTCTTAAATTTTGTATACTGGTAATATATACAATATAACTAAGAAAAAAAATGAAATTTTACTTTCCAACACTGTTAACCCGCTAAGATATGGCCGTTTAAAGCGCGGAAAAATGGTACATTTTTGACAAAATGCACCTCATTTATTTTCAAATATCTCGAGAAATAATTTTGTTAGAAAAATAATTTAAATTTTATTTTGTAGCTTAATAAAAGTTCTTTAAAATGACATAAAAATAAATATGATGGACATTTTATTAATATCGAAAACCGGATGTGTAAAACCAAATTTCTTTTCTATAGATAGATATCACACTGCTTTATATTTGTACAAAATCCTAGACAGGGATGAACATGGGTTTAGGAGTTATCACTCTTTATATGGCTAAAATTGAACAAATTTAGCATTAATATCATCATATTTTAATTTAATGAATAGTTATGAAATAATGTTAATTTAAAAATTATGTCTAAATGACAGGCCCTTACTTTTTTTTATCTTTATCAAAATTTTTGATAAGTGTCTGGAATAATGAGCTTTGTTTAACACTTTAGTTAAATTTTGTCTCGAAGTTACTTGTCAAAATAATTCTAAACATATTTATAACTTTATTTGCCTCAAATTGCATTACATATAATACAATCAAAAATTTATAATTAAATATATCATATATTATAATTATCCAAGGAATTTTAATAAATTATGACTTTTGTTTTCGTCTAGAGGAATAAAAGCTTGGAACTTTGTGTTCCAGAAATTCTCTTTGCTTTCAAAAATCTGCTTTCAAGATGACTTTCTATGTTCATATATTCATTATTGCTCACAAATATATAATTTACCCCAGATATTATTTCTTGCATAGTTAAATAAATCTATTGTTGTCAATATGTGATGTTCATATGGACGTTGCAATCTTGCTCGAGCTGCTAACCGTTTAGTAACCGCCCCCAAAATGTCGCATGGACTTTTACCTTGTGCGGTTTCAAAAAATGTCACTCAGCCTTTATCCCATAATCATTTTCATGATTGTAGAGATTAATGAAATCTTTTATTTTTATATTGGTTACTGCTCCATCAGAAAAATAATAAATTTTAGCCACTCTATTAAATCTTTCCATCAAATTTTATTTTCGGGGATATTTTTTCCTATATTGTTAATTTTATAAAAATAATTTAATATTTTATAGGATTTAAAAAATGGGGAATTTTTTTCCGAGGAAATTTTTTCCGGGGAATTATTTTCTATGGGAATTTTTTCGGGGATTTTTTTCCCTGGGAATTATTTTCCTAGATTCTCTCCCCCAATATCAAGTAAAAAAATTTTCTAGGTACAGCCTATACCCAAATAAATTTAAATATAACAATATTTTGTTAATATCACAAGCGCAAGTGAGTATTAATATAAATGAACTTATATTATAAAAATATGATAATATATACGAAGTAAACATATACCTTGAGGCCTTTTCCCACATCCACCCACATTTTCCTTGGATTCTATTAAGATAAATATAAAATTTAGATCCATTTATTATAAAATAATTTTTCTACCTGTAACGTACAATGTCAAACAAGAAGTCGCACTTCTTTGCCTGTTTGTATATTATTATTTTTTTTAAAAATAAAAAAAATTATTTTAAAATTTGCACATTCTCTAAATCTTATTTTAAGTTTCATTTAATCTCATTATATGAGATATTATATAATATCATTTTTTTAAAAAAATAGGATCTGTAATTTTAGTATTGTTAAATGGCTCGATTTTTTAAAATTTGGGGTAATTTTGGAAAAGTGCCCCATTATTATATTATGTGAGCCTCGTTGGCAAATAGAGGTCCAAACATCTCTAACCTATGGGCAAAATCTCCTGGCTTTTATAATATATTATTTTGGCTAAAAGCTTAATCGGGAAGTTTTTAAAAATTAGCCCAAATCGGGTCGTTTACCAACATTACTGCTAACCCAATATTTTAATAGATGGCAAAAAGGTTTGTACATCTTACGAAATCTCCAAGCTTGCACAATATTAGTTTAGCTAAAATCTTAATTTATAATTGGTTAAATCGATTCGTTTATAAAACAACGCTACTGTGATAATGTTATTAAAATAAATAAAAATAAAAATATTTTATGCAAACCCAACACTATTGACCGCGAAAAAGCAGAAACTATTTGGTCCCTTTTGGCCATCGGTAGGACTCCAAGTTACATTTTGACCATACAAAGGCGGGTTGTCAGATACCTTAAAGACTGAGGAAGAAACGAGTCCAGTCGGCGATACGGTAAATATATTTTGAACACTTTTTAGTAAAAAAATAAATAAATAATGAATACAATTCATAATTTATAACTTTTTGATATATCTGTGTACTATTTCAGGACATAAGCTATGTCTAAAAAAAGTGACACTACGCTATGTGATTTAAAAAAAAATTATATATAACGCGTATAATAGATTATTTGACCAATATTATTTGCGATTTCGGTGTCACTTTTTTTTTATTAATAATTCATATTTTTTTAAAATAATGCTTAAAAGCGTTACTAGTGGTTCGTCCCTCCACTGTATAAAATAAATATATATCTTACAAAAAATCCGGTGTAGGGCTTCTAACGTAAATAGTTCCTTGAAATGTGATGGAAAGAGGCACATCGATGCACTCCACATTGTTAGAGGTTGTCGGAGGATTAACGGGTACCCGTTCAAATAACCCGTCTCTCCTAACTTTATTTCTAGGTTGGTATCCCCAATTAAAATTCTTCTTCTTAGAATCTGAATTGAGAGTCGGATTGAAATCGGATAGAGCCGCCAAAGAAGGCTGATAAGTGAGATCTTCCAATGTGCAAGTTGTGAATTCGGAATCGTATATTTCGATTATCATTTGTACGGTTGTTCTACTTAGAGGAAGTTCTCTTTTATTTTTATGAACCTGACTGCGTATGCTCAAAGCGCTAGGGGCAAAGTCTTCTAAAATAACATCCGTATAGTAAATCCCTGA